TTTAATATCCCAGTAGCATGGGCTTTTTCTACACACCCTCAACTACATGCCAGCCTTGGTGGGAGTGGTTTTTAGTCTTGTCTATCACCGATTTCTTTCATATAATAATCTCGATGCTCCTCTCTCCCCACACTATTCTCCTGCCAGCTCAGTCAGGGAAAAGAAGTTTCTGGCTGACAAATGAAGCTGAACTACTTGGATGTCTATATGTCTGTCTCTACCTTGCTCTGCTTACAACAGAGTGGAAGATGGATTGTATATAAAAGAAACTCCAAAACGATGTTTGCACTAGTCTGTTTTTCTTTACTGTAACAAAGTACTTGGAGCAGTCTACCTCATAAAGAGTTTACTGTGGGTAATGAACTAAATCTGGTGATAGCAGTCTTTCTGGTATTGGCATGAGACAGGGAGAGGGTGTATGTCTGTGCTCTGGTTTTTAATCTTTTCTCTAAAGCACGGGACTGATTTACAATACACTCTGACAAACTCATTTGATGCTAACCACCTCTCAGAAGCATACCACAGCAGAATTAAATTTCCACCCTCCTAACACGTCACGGAGGAGGGGGTGTCAAACACCAACACGTGACACCACAAGAAGACCTCAGTGAGGCTTTAGAAGAATGCAGGAAAGTATTTTTTTTTTCCTTTTAACACAACCAACAGAGACCATACTAAAGAGACAGCAAGAAAAAGTGCCAGAGAGTGAGAGAGCACAAGAGCCTGAGAGAAAGAAAGACTTGTTCAAGTATACTAGAAACACTTGTTTCCTGAGGATGGAACTGGTAAGTGCTCTTCTGTGGATCTGGGGCTGGAGCTCAGTGGTGGAGTACTTGCCTAGCATGTTTAGGCCCCAGCATGGAGGGGGAGGTAAGTGCTCTTGTGATAAACATGTAAGTGTGATGGTATAGCCACAGCAGCATTCGAGGGTCATGTACTATATGGATAAGGAAGTGTACTTCCTACAGTCACTCCAGACAAACAAAATCTGTGCAAGAACGTTCAGAGCTGTTTTACCGATAGTGGCTGAAATTGAGAAGGACCCACATACACACGACTGGGAAAACAGGTCAGCAAACTGTATCCTCGTATGGAATTCTGGCAAACTGTATCCTCATATGGTACTCGTATGGAATTCTCTAGAAAAAAAATGAAAAAAGATTGATACAGTGATGCTTTAGTGCTCTATGAAAGCAAACACAAAGGAAGTGGTCACTACATACATAAAACCTGGAGCAGGCAAAGAACTTGAGGTGAAAGAAGTCAGCACAGGAGATACCTCAGTGGTATAGCAACTGACTGTAAGCAGAGGCATTTCCTGGTCAAAGGAAATGAGAGGGTTACTTAGCAAAACTATTTGACAGAATGTGTACAGTTAGAAGCACAAGATCAATGGTTCAAGCCAGGTGTGGTGGTGCATGTCTTTAATCCCAGCACTTGGGAGGCAGAGGCAGGTGGATCTTTGTGATTTCAAGACCAGCCTGGTCTAGATAGGGAGTTCCAAGCCAGCTGGGGCTACAGAGGGGAGGGAGGGAGCCACACAAGATCAATGGTTCATATCTATAAATCATGTTTCAGTGTAATCATGTCAGATTTACATTGTTACTTCACATCACACACTGAGTAAATTCTACATGAATTCAAGAGTAAACCTTAAAATAAGACACCAGAACTGCTGCTGGAGAATACATTTTTAATGATTTGGAGATGGGAAGCAGGTGCGAAGTACACCTATAATCCCAGTTACTCAGGAGACTGAGGCAAGAGGCTTGTTTAAGCTAGCTACATAATGAACTCAAGGCCAGCCTAAGCAACTTAGTAAGACCTTCTCAAAATAAAAATAAAGAGGATGTAATTCAGTGGTAGAGCACTTGTGTAGTACAAGGCCTCAGGTCTAGTCTCTGGTACCAGGAAAAAAAATAAAAATAAAAATAAAAAACCCAGTAATTTGGAGGTAGACAAGGCCTGCAACTCAGGCTGAGGTAGACCAGGCTGACCTCAAATTCACAGACATCCACCAGCCTTTGCTGCCACCACACCTAGTTCTAGAGGAGGTCTTTCTAAATAGAATACAATCAGAAATCAAAAGACCTATTTTTGCCATACGAAAACTTAAAAGTTCATAAAAACCAGTAAGACATAGCACAGTGAAATATTGCACAGAGTTTATAGGAAGGATATGTCAACCTATAACAAACATTTGCTATCAATCATCAAAGAAGTTCAAAATAACATACTAAAGTGTTTTCCCTTTAGACAATGAACAAAAAAATTAAAGTATGCTCAATCCATTTTATGGCTTTTTGGAAACAGAGCTCTAAGTTACTGTTAACTGAATGATGGATGGGGAGACAAAAGAGAATATTCTTCATTTGGGAAACACAAAGTTGAGATTCAGGCTCACAGGACCAGGTTTGCTCTGAGCCACATCTCAAAGAACATGCAAGAAGGTTCTGTAAGGGAGTTCCACAAAAAAAGCACAGCAGCAGCTCACTGGCTAGGCAGAAACCCTAAATTGCAGACAAAGTCTCATTAGTTAGGGGCTTCCCAGCTCAGAGCTTGGGGTGGGTAGACAGACATCACTGTCCACCAGGGCTTTGGTCGGACTTCAGCAGGGCATGCGGACTTCCTGCAACTTGTAACAGGCCTTGGGTTTCCCTGGCTTTGTTTCCTAGCACATTACAGCACATATCCTTTGGTCCCTTCCCTAAGAACACAACTGCGTAAGTGGAAAAAGACAACACAGGGTATTTTTTTCCAGCATTTTTATTAGTAGGATGTTGTAAATAGGGCTGTGTTCATTTGTAAATGTTTAGCTGCTGTGTAGATGCTGCATGAAGCACAACATACCTGTTAACACCAAACAAATATGATTTTACCAATGTGAAGGCATGTAGGACTCTCTTTTATAGAGATTTGTGGTACAGCCTGGTGGCTGGTGCTTGCACAGGGACAACAGGCTAAAGTATTTCCTTTTCTTCTAGGTGTGTGCTGAGGTTTTGGTAACAGGCCACTTACAGGCATAAGGGCAACTCGTGATAGGGTGGCCTGTCCCTACAGCAACCACCAGAATGGGCCCCATCACCTTGAAAACAGGAGACCCATTCTCCCCAGTGAGCTCAGCAGGGTCCCCACATACCTAACTTTCTCTTTGATAGGCTGGCAACCTGGAAATGATGAGAAATCCAGAGTCTGGTCCAAGAGAGAGGTTTTTGGTTACTATGGAAATTAAGTATCAGTTGCCTCACAATCTAGACCTAATCCTGGAGTTTAGATGTCAATTCAAGCCAGGTGTGCTGGTACACGCCTGTTAACCCCAGCACTCAGAGGAGGCAGAGCCGAGGTAGGTGGAGCTCTTTAAGTTCCAGGCCAGCCAGGTCTACACAGTGAGACTCTGTCTCAAAAACAAACAAAAAAACAAGATGCCAATTCATCCAAAGACAAAACAAAGGCCATGAGATGAGGCCTGGGTCCAAATAGGGCCCCACCTGCCTACCTGGCCCCAAGGTAGTCATTACAGAGCTGCCCAGGCACAGGGAAGACACAGGCTTCAGTCGTCCCCCATCAGGTCCCTGTAATGGGCACTCCTCCTGCCAGCCATACCCTTTCTTCCACCGGCCTTCCTCACATTCTGCAGGTGTACAGACAGCTTGGACCCCAAGTCAACAAATAACCTGTCATATAGCCAATACCTGACTCAGAACAAGTAGCTGGTCAGCCAGCTGTGTTGGGGTAAGTCATACAGTTGCTTGCCTGCCCCTGGGCAGAAAGGGGCAGTGTCTTAAGCCCAGGCTCCAGTTGGCTCTTTCAGCTACCTCCCACCACTGCTTTCTCAAAGAGGTAACCTGCCCCATGGCCCCTAAGCCCTCCTGAGTCTGGGCTCAGCGTGGAGCCTCCCTACATGGCATGGCCCCATCTCAAGGCTGTAAGGGCTGAGGCCCAAGCTCTCTTGAAGGAAGGTAAGTTGGCCTTGTCCCTGGCCCACCAGTGTCCCTGGGTCCTCCTGCAGCTGCTGCCAGTGGTGCTGCAGGGGCCAAAGACTGGGAAACCTGTAGGTCAGGTATCCTGTCTGGTGATTTGTAAAGTATGAGATAGTTGTGTTCCTTCTAGAAAATGCCATATATTGAAAGATGAGCCTTTGATCAATTTTTCATTGAGTTTATAAGCTTTCCTGTAGTGAACAAGGACAGCTTTGCATGGGGCACTAAGAGGCTCTGATCTGTGTCTATGGCTCCTACAAAAGGCTGCAGCCCTCACTTATCAGCAGGGAGGAAAGGGCTCCAGCATTGCCCTCTCCAGTCTCACTGTATCCTGATGAAGACTTGAGACTCACCTGCCACAACAAACCTCCAGAATGGCTTTTATGACTCAATGCTTGGAAACTGGAGAGATGGGTCAGTGGTTAAGAGAACTGGCTGCTCTTGCAGAGAACCTCGATTCAAATTCCAGCATCTACACAGCAGCTAACAACAGTCTGTAACTCCAGTTCCAGAGGATTAGACCCCCTTTTCTGATCTCCACAGGTATTGCTTGACATGGCTGCACTTACATACATGCAGGCAATACACTCATTCACACAAAATATTTAAAAAATGGATGCCGAGTACCAGACACATGCACATGTACACCTGGGGAGCAGGGACACATGGCGCCCCCTTGGCCTTGGGTGGAGCAATGGGCCTGGCAGAATCTGAGAATCCTTTGGAATCTTGGAGGATGGCACCCACACTACAAGTGCTGGGGATTTACAGAGACCAGGAAAAAGATTGTGTCATAAAATAAATTTCATTTAAAGTACTTTTTTATTGATTTCATTGAAAACAGAACAAGAAATGGTCTGAGCCAAAAGATTGCTCTTAAAACTGTCAAAAACATTTTAACAGAAAAAAATAAACATGACTGCATTATGAATGTTTTAGAAGAGTCACACAAAAAAACCCACGGTCGCTGCACTAATTACAGTATTTAGAAAGGTATATGCCAAAAAAAAGTACATGACCTGCCAGGCCATCACACAAAAGGTGATGGCAAGTTTATTCACACTACAAGACTAACATTTTAAAAAAGATTTTCTTGTGTTTTATTCTAAAATCACTTTGTTCTCTTTTTACAGTTGATAGTTTATTTTCACGTGGTGAGTAGAAACCACACCAGATTCAGCACCGTTGTCTATGTTTTGTGTTTTTATTCTTTGTTTGTCCTAATGTTAGGTAATGGTAGAAAACAAACCAGTTTATTCATCATCATAGCATGTGGCTTAGAAATCAACAGAAGGTGCCTGCTGCATCAACGGAACTGGCTGGGGCTGGTGCAGGGTCTGCCTGCATCCACCAACCTGCTTCCTCGCAAAGAAACACCAGTAAGAGCCTTGATATATAGGACTAGATATAAGATTTCTTTAAAAAGCAAACCCACATTTTCACCAAAGCAAATGGCAGGTGGGTGACCTCTCCAAGGCCATGAGGGAGCTAGCGTCCTCCAGCGGCACCAGGGAGCCGGCGCCAGCACACAGGCCGTGGGTAGCAGGTCTAACGGAGCAGCTTGTGGGTGATGGTGGCCTTGGTGAGTGCCACATAGGAGCCTGGCCAGACAGTACACAGACAAATCTGGTGGTGGAGCAAAGGCCTCAGAGACCAGGAGAAATGGGAAGCACTGCAGCGACAGCTACCACCAGGAACTCACAAGGTATGTAACATGGAGCCCCAGGTCTCTGAGGCGCATGATCAGAGGTGTGGTCCAGCCTGAACAATGGGTCAGCCACAAGGCCTCAGGCCCAGATCATTCCTGGGAGGTGTCCACACCTCCAGTTCCTCTTGGATGTCATGTGCAGATCCTCCTCCTCCTCCTCTCTAAACTGCAGTCACAGAATCTGATTCCCAGTGTCCTGCTGGCCCCACTGGCAACTCATAGGGGGTCAGCAGCAGCTGCAGAGCTGGTGTCCGGAAGGCCGTTCTCCTGGGCTTCCTGGGCTGCACTGGCCTGTCGCTGGGCCAGGGCTGCGCTTGAGTGCCGGCACTTGGAGGACCCACACCGGCAACTGAAGAGCTTGCCCTTGACATCCCAGAAACGTTCCCCGTAGTCAAACCTGGGGGTGGGGGAGGCAGGTCTCAGATTGTCTGTGTGCTGGACAGAAGTAGTGGTATATGGGATATCCTACCTGCCCTGAGCTGTCCCACCCAGGCCCAGGACCCTAAACACTGGCAACACGTGCATGGCCAGGAAGGCAGGACCCATAGCCGCTCAGCCTGCGCCATGCTATGCCTAAGGCCGTACATACCCCAGCTGCTCCCCAGCCTGGATCAGGCGGGTACTGAAGAAGGCAATCCTGGGAAACCGCAGGTCCTGGTGAGACATGAACACACGCACAGGCACAAGGTTGGGTTCGCAGTGGTGGTTTATGAACCGGCTGACGTTCCCATAGAACCGAGCGTCAATGCAGTATACCTCTCCATCCTGGGGATGAGACAGTGAGAGGGTCCATGAAAGGCTTCCATCAGTAAGCTCTCTAGGACATGCTGTCCTTGCCCTAGAAACCAGCACCATAGTCTTGAAATTCAGGAGCTGGGCACTGGCCCTGCCAGGATTGAAGGACTTTCTCCAGTGGCCTGCAGTGACAATTGAGGGCTCAGCAGGCAAGGGCCTCTGATATACTTCTGACACAGCCTGAGGGCAGCCATAGGCTATACTGACTGAAATCTTGTGGTGCAGAGGTGGGGGCATCATGCTAATCTGGGCACAGGAGAGCACAGGGCTTTAGATGCCCCACAGCCTGGCCTAGGCATCCATCCCTCTGTAGTTGTTTCCCAGAACAAGGGGACTGTAAGATAAAATTTTGATGAGTGTACTGGACCAACTCTTGAACCATTTAAACAGTTGCCTTGCAGAGATCTTGAGTGTGAGAAACTGCTGTGGTAGGATCCTACCAAATGCAAGGAGCTGCCTGGGCTGAACAGGGCATCTGAGGACCTTCAGGGAGGACTGGGACTAGTCACACTGCACATCTAGAGCCTGCCACTGCAGGCCATCTCAAGTTGCTGTGTTTGTGGTATGACAATTACACAGCTATGAGAAATAAGAACAAATCTGGAGGAGAAAGCCAGAAATGCTAGAATGAAGTATGTAATAAAGGCTTTTCCAGAACTCTGTGAAGAGTAAGGCTCACACAGAAGGCTGCTTTGAACATCTGGGCAAATAGTCCATGTAAACCTTAACCAGGGGATCAAATGGTACTCAGAAACCAGGGAGAGTACAAACCCAAACTGATGATGGGAAACCTGGGTTTAAGATGGATCTCTGAAAACCTTTACTTTGTAACTTCAGAACCCCAGGAATCAGTGATAGATTGGACATGGATGAATGTATTTCAATAATATCCTGGAAAAACAGAACTTGTGAAAGAACTCAGCAACAATCACCCAGATAAAAGACAAAGCAAACCCATGTTTTGAATCTGCCACAAAGACACAGTAATCCAGGACACTCAGGTGGTAGCTTTTGGACTCTATTTGTGGGATGACGGCCTGGGAGGTTATAGATAACCCTAGCCTCTGAAGATAACAACTCTGAAACCAGCTATCATGTATCCTAAAGGTACTCAGAGCTACAGGGTCCATGGGGAAAGACTCCTGGGGCTTCTGGAATGGGGTGCCAAAGTTTGTACACTCAAACTGCTGGCTGACATGACCCCTACTAAAGCAAACATCAAGTTGACTGTGACCAACAAAGACAGCTGAACAGAGACCAGAGCTGCATGTGAATATCAGAGCTCATGTCTGAAGCTCTGCTAATAAAAAGACCAGAAAAACAACATGTCCATCTTGGAGAAAAACCAGTTTTCTCAAAAATTAGCATCTATAATACAAATGACTGACATACAAAAAATGGATTCATGTAAGAGAGAAAGGAAAATCAGCTGAGTCCAGTCTGACACAAGCCAGACACCACACGAGAACAAGTACTAGAGAAGATTCTCATTGGTCCACAGAGCAGGAGCCCAGAGCACAACTGGTACAGAGAAGAGGAAATAATCAAAGAATCAAATGGGATTCTAATCAGGATCCACTGGCTATTTAACAGACCTGAGAGAATGAACAGGACCTAGAGACAGCACTAAACAGTGCTGCAGTAAACCACTGCATAGAATTATTCATTGAGATGCCATTTGCAAAAGTAGCAAAGAAATCAATCTATGAGTCCAAAAGACGGAGGAAGAATCCACATTCTGAAGACCTGCAGTATACTGACAAGTGAGAAAGGCAGGGTAGAGAAACTTTGCCACTTTCTGTGTAAGCACAGAATAAGCACTTCTGTTTATTTCTACAAATGGCCACCTGTTGGTTGGGAGGTGTCCCATGGCTGAAGTATCCAAGCCCCTGCCAGGTCCTAGCTGAAATCCTCACCTCACAGTGAGAGAGTCACGAGGTGGGGCCTCAGGAAAATGACCAGAGCTGGGGGCAGAGTCAGTGTAAGATTAGTGTACCCACGAGAGAAGCTCCAGAGAGTTCCCGCCCTCTTGCCACATGAAGACACAGTGGGAAGGTACTGGCTATGAATCAGGAGGTGGCTTGTCCTGGCAATGAGCCCCACACAGGATGTGAGGAATAGAGTAGGTCTCAAGAGTTTGTTACAGCAGCCAGAGAAAACCCTGACATCAAGTAGTGGAATATAGAGCATGCAAAAAAGCACAACTTTTCTGATCAAGATTTTTCATACAGTTTCTACTTTTAGAACATGTAAATCTTTTTTGTAATCAAAACTTAAAAAAAAAAAAGTGGGACGGGGTGGAGGGGGATTACTGGAGTATTGGAAGATTGAATCCAGAGCCTCAATATGCTAGGCAAGCATTTTATTACTGAGTTATATCATTAGCCCTTTTCTAAATTTTAGTTTAAGAGCTACACATGGTGGAAGGAGAACCAATTTTTGCAAGCTGTCCTCATATATGCTGTGGCACATGCACACACACACACACACACACACACACACATATACACACTCAAGATGTGAAAAAAAATTTATTTTGAGACAAGGTTTCACTATGTGAGCTCAGGCTATTTTCAAATTCATGATCCTCTGACACAGTGCAGGTGGATGAGATGGTAGACATGCCTGACAAAAATACAAATTCTTAAATTTACAAAATTATGTATCAAACTGTTAACTTCACAGAGAGACAATTATATTACTTCAAGTACTGAAAAACACAGTACTTTGTGCATCCTTAAAATATGTATATATTATTCTTAAAATATATATATTTTGGTCTTTTTGAGACAGGGTCTCCCTGCAGCCCCAGCTGGCCTGGAACTCACTATGTAGATCAAGCTGGTCTGGAATGCAGAGATCCACCTGCCTTTGCCTCCTGAGTGCTGGGATTAAAGGCATGTGCCACCACACCTGGCCTTCAGAATATATTTTAAAAGCAAAAAAACTACAGAGAAACAGTGCATGCGCTCCAGTAACTGTGTTATATACATGGTCACTAACATCAGCAAGGCGATTCTGATACAAGGCTTCCAAAACCAAGATTCTTTATATAGGTGAGGTCAAAGTAGCTCATGACCTGAGCAGAAAAGTGAACCAGCTCTTAGTGATCTACCATGTTGGTATCTCCGACCCAGTTAACACAAGTTTTGGCAGAAAGGAGTACCTTGGCAAGGGATTTTGTTCCAAAAAAGCCATTCTCCTCAAAATGCAAAGGAGTTTTGGGGAAAAAAATGGAACCGCAAGAGTGAGGCTGGTCTGGACATAGACAGCTTAATGATGTCAGAAAGCAGACAGAGAGCCTGAAGAGATGGCTCAGTTGTCAAGAGCACTGGCTGCTCTTGTAGAGGACCTGGGTTTGGACCCACATCGCAGCCAACAACCGTCTGTAACTCCAGTTCCAAGGGATCTGACCTCCATGGGCATCACATGCCACTGGTGCACTTACATGCATGCAGGCAATACGCTCATATACATAAAAAATAAAAATTAAAAGAAAACAGGCTGGGCGTGGTGGCGCACGCCTTTAATCTCAGCACTCAGGAGGCAGAGGCAGGCAGATCTCTGTGAGTTCCAGCCCAGCCTGGTCTACATAGTGAGTTCTAGGCCAGCTGGGGGGCTGCAGGGAGACCCTGTCTCAAAAAGATTTAAAAAGAAAAAAAAAAAAAAAGAAGAAGAAGAAAGAAAGCAGACAGGTGAGATTGTAAAACTGGCTCTGGGGCCAAAACAGAGCAATGTGCACATAAAAGAGAGATGTAACTAATCAAAACATCTTGAGTATATTAAAAATCAAACTATGATCTACAGTAACAGTCAAAACAATGGGATGGTGGTGCATACCTGTAATCTTTAGGAGGCAGAGGCAGGAGAATAACCATAAGTTCAAATCTAGCCTGGTCTTACACAGTAAGTTCTAGGCCAGCTGGAGCTGCATAGCAAGATGTCTCGAACCACACAAAGGAAAGGAAAAAAATACACCGAACTTCTTTTGCACTGGGTAATTTTCACACCTCTGCCTCATTCTGGAAATGGGCAGCCAAATGGACAGGACAGAGCATCTGTCTTCTCCCAGGGGAGAGCAGATGGCTGGAAATGGGTAGGAAAACATCTCTGTTTTCCTAAAAAAGAAAAAAAAAATTTTTTTTTGTGGAGATGGCTCAGTCAGTAAAGCTGCCAGCCATACAAACACAAGAACCTGAGTTCAGATCCCCAGCACCCAAGTAAAAGTGGGGCATGGCAAAGCACCATTGTGCCTATAACCCAGTATAGCCATGTAGGTGAGCTCCAGGTTTAGTGAGAAACTCTGTCTCAAAAAAATAAGGTATAGGGGCTAGAACAATGTCTCAGTGGTTAAGAGCACTGGCTGCTCTTGTAGAAGACCCAGATTCATTTCCTAGCAACCACATAGTGGCTAACAACCATCCATTACTCCAGTTCCAGGGGATCCAATGCCCTCTTCTGGCCTCTACAGGCACTGCATGACATGGGTGCACTTACATACATGTGGACAAAAAACTCATATACATTAAAAAAAAATTTTAAGGGTAGAGAACAATCAAGGAAGATGCCTGATGCTAACATCTGTCCTCCACATCCAGGTGGACATACTCATATAAACACATACCACACTGGGAGGGAGGGAGGGAGGGAGAGACCGGCCGGGCATGGTGGCACAGGCCTTTAAGCCCAAGACTTGGGAGGCAGAGACTGGTGGATCTCTATGAGTTCGAGGCCAGCCTGGTCTACATAGTGAGTTCCAGGACAGCTGGAGCTACAGGGAGACCCTGTCGCAAAAAGACCCCCCCCCCAAAAAAAGGGGGAAAGGCAAGGCTGATGTCCCCAGAAGCACAGATGTAACAGGTAAAAAGAGAGTCAAGGCTCATCTCACTTTACAAGACAGAAAACCAGACACCACAAAGTTCGTCCAGAACACAGCTGGAAGAATATGGTACCACCAGCAAGAATGACACTGAGCCTTATGGAACAAGGACAGACATGTCCAGATGGCAGATGGCTGGTCTCTTCAGTATTCAAGCTGGGAGGCTCTCGAAATGCTGCTCTCCTTAGATGCAGTAGGTATGAGCACAGCCACAATGGGCTCTGGGAGCTGCCCGCTACAGAGGAACTCAGGAGGAAGAAAGAAATGTGACAGAGCTGGCCATCAGATGGGTATGATGACAGTGCTAGTTGTTCATGAAAGTGGCACCATGCAGACACACTGGTAGAATGAGGTGAGATTGTATTTGGATTTAACATATCAGAAAAAAAAAAAAAAAAACCTGAATGAAATAAATCAAATCAAGCAAGATACTGGCAATTGCAGAATGTAGTGGTGGGATGGGGCCCTCACTTCTAGTCATCTCCACTCCTCTTCATGTCAGAATGTTCCTGTAGCACACATTGAAAAGGGCTGCCAAGTCGTCAGGAAATGAAATACCCCAGGGAATGGCAGCCAAGTAAATGCTTTTTCTTTTCTTTTTCCTTGACTGTTCTTTCTTTTATTACTTAGATGAAAGACTTGAATGTTTTTAAAATTAGGAAAGAGCAGCAGAGAAGGACAAGGCCAGAAATATCTGGTACTGCCACAGGAGAAAAGATGTAGGTAGTAGGCAAGGAGGGAAGAGAAAACAGGACTCCTCTGACAAACTAGGGTAGAAGGACAGGGTAGATGGATAGATAAGGCAAACAAGATACATCAAATAATGCCTGGAGCCATCACAGTGGCTAACACCTGTAATCTAAGTACTTGAGAGGCTAAGGCAGAAGGACTGCTACAAGTTTGAGGTCAGCTTGACATATATTACAAGTTCCAGGACAGTTAGGGCTACATAGTAACACTCTACTCCCAGAGAAATACTGATTCCATGACTGGGTGGCTACTGTTAGAGATAAGAAAACCTGTATTTCCTTATCCATTAGCACTGATTCTGAGCTTTAGGAGGTTTTTATTTTTATTTATTTATTTATTTATTTTTTTGAGACAGAGTCTCCCTGTAGCCCTAAGCTGTCCTGGAACTCACTATGTAGACCAGGCTGGCTTCGAACTCACAAGATCCGCCTGCCTCTGCCTCCCGAGTGCTGGGATTAAAGGTGTGCACCACCACGCTAGGCTTTAGGAGGTTTTCAAGAATAGTGGTGAGCTGAAGAGGGTCTCAGCCACCTTTCCTCTGGGTCCAGAAGCACTGACACTATACTCCTGTAGAAAAACAAGCTCAGGTCCCTGACCTCCCTCAGCACAGAATTTCAGTGCACTGAAGCCAATGGAGACACAAGGAACCACCCCCACACCACCCCCAGCATTTCTGGGTCCACCTGCTGCCTCACATGTGACCCAAGGAGGAGCAGCCTGGGCCCTGGGGACACAGTGAGATATCCTAGACACCTACTCTTATGGGTAGGTGGCTTGCTACTTGAGCACAAGAGATCTTCCAAGCTAGGTGCCTGTACTTTGAGCATCAAAAAGAGCAAAATGAGTCCAGGACTATGTGGCAAAACTGAGCAGGTCTGCAATGAACCCATGTCCACCAACAGCAGGGTGCTCATCAGAGTGACTCTCCAGAAGTGGCCTGTGCCATACACTTTCCAGAAGCCACCAAGAACAAACTATGTCTTAGCTTTCTATTGCTGTGATAAAACACTAACCAAAACCAACTTGGAGGGAAAGGGTTTATTTCCTCTCCAGCTTACAGCTCACTATGGAGGGAAGACAAAGCGGAAACTCAGGAACCGAAGTAGAGATCGTGGAGGAGTGCTGCTTATTGGCTGACTCCCCTGGCCTGTGCTCAGCCTGCTTTTTTTTTTTCTTTTTGGTCTTTTTGAGACAGGGTCTGCCAGTACCTCCAGCTGGCCTGGAATGCACTATGTAGACCAGGCTGGTCTTGGACTCACAGAGATCCGCCTGCCTCTGCCTCGAGTGCTGGGATTAAAAGTGTGCCCACCATGCCTGGCCTCAGCCTGCTTTCTTATACAATATAGTACCACCTACCCAGGGATGGCACCACCCACAGTGGGCTTAACCCTCCCATATCACTCAATAATCAAGAAAATGTCCCACAGATATGGCCATAGGCCAATCCAATGAGGAAAATTCCTCAAGTTGAGGTTCCCTCTATCCAGGTATGACAAGTTGACAACTGAAGCTATCTAGTACAAACTGCCAAAAGTTTTCTATTTTGCCACCAGCTCTCCTGTTTCAGTCCTTCCCAACACATTACCTTATTGTCAAGATCAAAGAGGTAGGAGTCTTCTTCCCGAACATCAGCTTCAGAGTCGGAAATCAGCTCCCCAACATACCTGCAAGGAGGAAGAGGAGGACTTGCATCACCTCTAGACCTGCACATGGGAACAGTGCCATGGAGGACACTCTCAAAGGGCTCCATGGACTACGGTGGGATCTGACTCTGGCCCCAGAGGATAAGGATATCAGGCAATGAAGAGCCAGAAATTCCCCATGTGTCTGCAGCAAGGATGGCTTCTCAAAGACACTAGTACTGTGTAGGACATGTTCTCAGAGGCTAATGCCTCTAGTGAGAGTGACTGATGACAGAAAACCTGGGCAACAACGCCAGGGTTGAACAGCAAGAGCCTGACATCTAGAGTCAGTGGGCTGCTTGAGAGCGTGATATGACCAGCACCTCCAGAGCTTTGTACCCTACTGCTGCAGGACTATGAAGTATTTCCTCCCAGAGGCTTCTTAGAGCACACACATGTATGAGCAGAACCAGAAATGACAAACAGTTGACAGAGCTGGAGGATTCTGGGACACACTACACACTTACTCGCAGACAAAGGTACCCAGTGGGATATCCTGCAAGGACCGCACACCCCAGCCCATGTCCTGTGTCCGATAAAGCTGCAGCCTTGCCCTGGAAAAAATGTAGAAGGGAGGTAGATGTATACTCAATGCTCAACAAACCAGCTTGTATCAATTTTGAAATGAAATGAGCAAATGGGGAAAAATGATAGAGGTTCCTAGTAAAGAAACACTGCAACTCTACCAGTGACTGAGCGCACCTCTGGTCACCTACAGACCTAGCCCCCAACATTCAGGAAGCTGAGAACCTAGAACTCAGTTTGTTAAAGCAAAAGCACAGCAACCCCTGCTAGCCTCAGTTTCCTCAACTGTAACTGGCCCATTCCACTAGGTAGCAGTGAGGACTAAAGGAATTCGTGCTATAAAAAGGCTTCCACTAGAACCCAGGCTGCTACATTCTTACTATTCAGGCAGTATCAGCAATAAGCATTCAGGTAGGCTCCTACAGGCTGGGCAGGTTCCAGGTAGGCCGTGCTTAGGGAACACCAGGGACTTCAAGGCCCCCTCAGATCACGCACATCCCATTGGACCCTTTTGTGAGCATGGGAGGGGACAGAGGCAGAGAAGTGTTCTCAATCGTCCTTAAAACACTGTGCAGACCACAGCGACAAATGTTAAAACTTGATTCTGGTCCTGAAGGAGATGTGAGGACCAATCACCTTGGGCAACTCAGGAAGGGGTCCCATAGTCTGAAAAGTCATCAAACTACAATTCTCACTGTTGGCTGCCTTTCTCTAACACAGAGCAGAAAATGGCTCAAGCCCTGAAAGCACATAAAATAAGCCTATTCCTCTGAGAATACGTGTGTAGACTTGGGCCAGGACAGCCCCTCTGGATTTACCAACAATAACTTGATACCTTCTCTCTGTCCACATCTGAGCCAGCTTGGCTGGTTATTTACACATACATCTTCCCCAGACACCAGCTCCACCCATAAACACACATGCTCCTGGTTCAGTGTGTGGCCTTGGTACCAACTTGTTCTATGCGTTCATAGCCCTCACCTGAGCCCGTTCTGCACCACACGATTGCGGCAATTCCTCCAGCAGGAGCAGGCATGATTGCACTCGAAGATCAAGGGTGGCTCTGCCATATTAAACTCAGGCAGGAGTCGGCCGTCCTATGGACAGATGGCCCCAAGGCCAGCAAATGTCAACCAGCTTCTTAAAATTAACTTTAATATCAATGTATTTTTACAAAGTGCCCAGTGTAGCTTCAAATGAACATAAACATGACAGTTTCTGGATGGATTTTTAACAGTTGGGGGAATAAGAGGGTTAGGTTCTCTCTACATTTGTGGTTTGGATGGGAACCTCACCAGGTGCCTCTTGGGGAGTTCCCCTTCTTCCAGGTATACCTGGTTATCCTCTCTTCCTTCTGCCCTGGCCTCGCTCAGGTGACTACCATCTCCTAGATGTTCCTGCAACTTGGCCCTACAAACTCCCAAGCCTGGAGAACCCAACCATGTGCCCCCTCCCTTTTTTTAACCTAATGCTACGGGTGATACACTAGGACAATGTGCACAACTAAGACCCTAGAGGGCCTTCTGCACAATGAGGTCTTTATGTACAATGCTCATACTTGGTAAGTCCCAGCATGCACCACACTCCAAAGACACAATCGATACCTGTCAGCACCACCCCTCATCCCCAGCACGGGTCACACAGTTTCTATTGGTGGTATCCTCTCATTCAGATGGCAAACACTCCAACCTCCATGACCCCTTTCTTCTAAAGAAAGAACATGTGGCTATTGCTGTCCCCATTTGTAGCCTACTTCCTCTTCACCCATAACACTCTAGCATCCACAACCTCTGAATCAAAAGAAAAAGAATGCATCTCTTCTCCCTATATGCTCTGCCCGAGCTGTATCACTTTTATGCCCCAGGGCCCTACTCTCTCAGTGGCTCCTCAGTGTCTTCTGATGGGATCCTCCTGCAGGTACCTTGTCAGTCATTTCCAGTCTGTGCCCCTAGGCCACTTGTCTAATGATGCTTACTCTATCCAGCCCAGTCCCTGGCCTTATCTTCCTACCAAGCATCTCTTTGGACACTTATATATGGGAAGCACATGGCTGTGCTTCCCAGGCACAAAAAAACAAAATTTCCTCCCACAGCTGTGCCAGGATAGCTACTGTACCACCATTCGGGTGGCCACAAAGGACACAGACTCTAGACCCAGAGCTTTGAGAGTCCATGCCTCAGTCCCATGGCCTGCTTGAAACAGCCTTTTTACTTTCCAGTCTGGCACCTCCTTACTTGTTTTTCTCAACCAGCTCATCTGCAACTGTCCCAAATTCACCCAGACACCTCAGAATCAAGAAACATGTTCACAGACTCCTTCTAACAGTACTGCATAAGCACACAGGCAGCACACACACATATATATATACATACATATATATGTGTGTGTGTGTGTGTATATATATACACACACACACACACACACACACACACACACATCTCCTTACCTTATCGTACCTGCAACTGTCCCAAATTCACCCAGACACCTCAGAATCAAGAAACATGTCCACAGACTCCTTCTAACAGTACTGCATAAGCACACAGGCAGCACACACACATATATATATACATACATATATATGTGTGTGTGTGTGTGTATATATATACACACACACACACACACACACACACACACACATCTCCTTACCTTATCGTACCAACAGCGCATGCTGAGCTGGCCACACATGCAGGTGCTGGAGGAACAATCATCCACACACACGCAGTACTGGGAACAGAATACATATCATGTCATATAGGCACCGCATTCCTGCTACCCCTCCCTCCCGGAAGTCACCACTAAATGCTCTGCAAAAATCTCAAAATTTCCCTTAATCTGACATGGGCTTTCTGAGCAGGGGAGAAGGCTGGGACACACTGAGAAGAAAGGAATGTGTCTGCATGGAGGAGGTGGGAGACTAGATAGGTGTAGCTCCCAGAGAGGCTAAAAAAAAGCTTGTGGCCCTCAAGACCAGACACTTTACAGGAAAGGTGAGGCGACAGAGACTCACAACCCAATCTAAGGCTTATGCAGCTCATCCTGTGAAGATTGTGGGGCTCATAGAAGCACAGCCATAAAGATAGCCCTTGAGAATGAGCCTGCTTTTAGCTAGGAAAAAGTCAAAAAGGTAGGACTGCAGCTTCCTAGATGGTGACTGCCTAGACTGAAAGGCATGCAGTGGGGGAGGGCCAGGTCACTTCTTAGGCCTGCATGGCCCCTGTTGCTTGTGATTCAAGGACCAGGCAATATCAAGACTCTGAGCAACCACTGGCCAGGGAACACTCACCACCACTCAAGGCCATGAGAAGACCCTTGAAGCATGACAAGAAAGGCAGCATTGTACCCACCTCAGGCCTTGAGATCTTTATCTGCCTTCTACCTCTTTCCTGGGAGGCAGCTTCAGAGAGAATAGGCTCCTGAGAAGCCCCCAAAGGCCTTCTTCCCAAAGTGGTGATAAGTCCTAAGGACTCAGTTCTAGGGACCTACCATCCTGTCTTAGCTGAGCAGCCCTTCTTCCCACCAACCTGCAGATGAGTGATGTTTCTGTCAATGTTCATGGGGGACGTCACGCAGTTCTGAGAGACGTACTTGTAGTTGGTTGGGCACAGCTCACTATCCACAGCATTAACACAGGGGATGGGAATGCGCTCATAACCTCGAGCAATGTCTCTGCATAGGAAAAGGGAAGTGTTATTTTTGCTATTGCACGTTCTTCCCCATGGGAGACACAGTTGCCAATAAGAGCCCACACTGGGCTCCAGCGTCAGTAGCATTTGCTCCCATCTCTTCTAGTCATCTCAGTCCTAGAACCTTCTCACCTGCTTATTGTCTTCTCGACAGCAACAGGCTTGTCAGGGGCCGAATCCCGAAGTGCCTTACTCATTTGCAGTGCACTCCACACCTGGGAGTTGAGGCTTGCACACTGTAAGGGTGTCTCTCCTTCCTTGTTTTTCAAAGTAACATCTGAATCCCGAGAAAGAAAGAGGCTAAAAGAGAAAGCGTAAGCCAACAAAACATCCAGATCTGAATTTAGAAGAGACAAAGGTCAGACGTACAGAATGATGATGGCTGTTAACACAGAGTGCTATCTGTACTGTGCCACTTGATCTACTAGGCTAGTGACTCCTGGGACTCCAGGAGCATGCCCACCCCTCCCACACTTGCAGTGAGGCACCAGTTTTCTCACCTGGGCATGCAGGTAGGTGCTAAGAATATTTGTTTAATTTTTCTTGGATTTTTGCTCTCAGATTTGTTCTCAAGAATAACAGGGAGTGACAACAGGGAAAAGGTGTCTGGGGTATGCAAAAGGGCAGCCCAGGACATCTGCCTGCTGAAGGCAGATGGGTTGCTACACCTGGTCTAGAGCCTTGCATGTGCCACAAAGCCATTCTGTCTCTTATTCCAGATAGAGGTAGAGGATCTACTACTCATCAGAGCAGTCACTGCTCTCCATTTCCTTCTCCAGGAACACAGAAGAGATGCCACTCCAGACAGATGCCTGCATGTGAAGGCCTCATACTTAAAAGGGCCCAAACAGCCAGCAGCCCTGAGAAGGGAGTGCAATAGCATTCAGAGTCTCCTGGAACCTTACAACCAGTCACCATACTGCCTGCTGACAGTTGGGTCTGAGACTTAGTCAAGATACAACGAAGAATTTGGTTTGTTTTTTTTTGTTGTTGTTGTTGTTTTTTCATGACAACCATGAGACTAAAGTGAACCACAGTTCGTTTCAGATGTGGATTAGGAAAGACACCTCTCCATCTATGATGCATTAGCTCTAGGCCTAGTGTGAATTCAAGCATTTAGCAGCCTTTCTGGGCAGCCTGGCAGCAAGGACCATGTTCAGGGCCACACTCACACAACACAGTCGTAGCGATTCTCTCTGGCTGCAATGTGAAGGGGTGAGTCTCCATGGATGTTCACGGCATGCAGGTCGCACTTGGCAGCCAGGAGTATCTCGGCTATGTCCACACAGCCTGAGAATGCTGCCCAGTGCAAGCAAATGTTCTCCTCCTGGACAGGGACAAAAGTGAGAGACCAGTGATGGCCTGGTTCAGGACACAATGGTGGAATGGGGAAAGGACAGCTGCTATACTTGAGTGGGGCTGGTTGGTCCTGGCATGGGTTATATGCAAAAGGGTTATCTGTTCAAAGTTGCTTTCTGAACTGCATTTTAAAAAATTTTTATTTTTTTCATTTTAAAAGTAATATAGCTGGGCCAGGTGTGGTGGTGCACGCCTTTAATCCCAACACTCAGGAGGCTGGCGGATCTCTGTGAGTTCAAGGCCAGCCTGGTCTACATAGTGAGTTCCAGGACAGCTGGGGCTACAGGGAG